TCATCCTTCACCAGTCTTGTTTTTATAGATCTTATGTCCCTTGCTAACTTGAGATATCCTGGACTGAAGGGACCAATTCTGATTTTTATCTTTACATGGCCAAATCGAGTGTTCATACCATTCTCCAAATAATACCAGATTTCTCACTGAAATACACTCAGTATTTCTACTAGTAGTGCATGATGGCTTCCATGTCCCTTTTAATCACCAACACTATGTACTGTTAAAAACATCAATGGAGGCACATTAAATTTTTTAGAGTTTGAGCCAACATCAGTTCACATCAGATAGTGCCCAGCTGGAATCGGTTAGGAGCATTCCATCAATGGGAGCAAGAGGCAAGGTTTTCACAGAGAAGATGGCAGAAGCAAAGCAAGGAAATTACTTGATTGGCTATAACTTAAGCAGGTTGCATTATTTGGAAAAGCCCAGTTGACTGTTTGTGACTCTTTTTTTTTTCTCTTAACTTTGAGGCATTTACAGGGATTGACTTTGGTTTAGCTTTCATGACCAAAAATTTGGTATTAGCATCACTCTTAGTCACTGTCAGGTTTAAGCTATTTTTGCCTCATTGTGAAACTCATGAAACTTGTAGGCTTTGATACCAGGTTTGTGGGAAGAATTGTTTTTGCTGGTCATTTCATTATTCACTTTGTTTTTCTTTCTCCAAGCACAGTGAGACCATCTGATGCACCAGATGCCTGTGAACATGTATTTAAGATACTTCAGAGAACACAGTATACCAAAGAGACTACAGTGATGGCTATGAGGATAACACCAAGAGGCCGAAGTATGCTCCAGAGCCAGCGTCCCCATGGACCAAACCAGTTGATATCAAATAAAAGATGTACCTGAAGAAGTATCAGTCTGTTTTAGCCAAGTGGCTTGTTAATTTCTTGTATTTGCAATAGTACCAGAGGTGTTGATCCAGGCACAGCAAGAGGCATTTGCTATGGCACAAGCTCCTCCTTGATCAGCCAGTAGGTAATTTAATGCAATTTTATTATCTAAAACCACCTCAACAAGAAAGCCTAGGGACTTTTGTGGTGCAGCTATGGCCTTGGCGGTAGACTCAACCAATTGTTGCCAGAGTTAAGGAGCATTGTTACCCCATGCACTAATAGTAAAAGCAAGTAGGAAAAAGGCAAAAAGGTGTCAATAAGAATAAAGTTTCATATTGGAGATGAAGATTCATCAGTGATCTTGGGAGATTTGTCTACCTCAAGACGTTCCCTGCTTCTGGGCAGTAACCTCCTTAGTCAAATTTAACTTTAGATCTCCAGCTGGAGGGCAGGTCCAAGAGTCTGCAGGAGTCCTTTTTAATTGGGAGATGTGGACCCAAGGCCCTGAAGTGTGGCTGTTATGAGAAGCGAGAAGGATCTGGTATGGTCCCTTTTGATAAGGTTCAAGGGCAGTTTACTTGTTAGCAATTCCAAGTCAGAAGAGTGGGAGAAAGTTGAAAAGATTTGTTTGGAGAGTTGTAGCCAGATATCCAGAAAAATTTAGGATACAGGCCAGTTTACAGGTAGATAACAAAACCTCAAAGAACATAAATAGGACTAAAATCTGATAGTCACAGGGTATGTTATAGCTTTTTACTAAAATATAATTTTTCTCTTTACAATTAATCCCATGTTTAGCAAAGATAATCACAGTGAGACTAATTTGTTAGCAAAGTTGAGTCTTATTAAACTTGGCTTGATTTATAAAAGTGCAACAAGAATGGTGACTGACCATAGAGTCATTTAAAAAGTCTGCTTTGCTGAACTTTTCCTTAAGATTAAGGAATCTTAAACTTTTTTTTTTTTTTAAGATTTTTATTGGGTAATTGGGGGGATGGGAACAGTGCTGGGGAATTGGGGGAAGGGGAACAGACAAGTTGCTGCTGTCGTTTTGTTCTTCAATCTAGTTGTGGAGGACGTTGCTTCACTGGCCCAAGTTGGCACCATCATTGCGCTCTTCCCTGGCGAGGCAGATCAGTCGCCGGCTTCTGGACGGCCGCTCACTGCGGCTGCTGGCTGCTCACGCTGGCTGCTGGCTACACACGGTAGCCCATGGCAACCCACTGCCACAGGGACTGCAGCCTATGCCGTCGCGAGCAACTCACGGCAGCCCAGCTCCAGGGTGAGCTGTTGTTCAGCATCTTAGCTGTAGAGTCACTGGCCCTCATATGTGGGATCTGAACCGGGGCCCTCTGGTGTCCCAAGCGAGTTCTTAACCATCGCGCCACTCGGCCGGCCCAAGGAATCTTAAACTTTTAAAAGTCTCTTGAGGCTAGGAATCCAGGCCAAGGACTTGCCAGAAATACCAATAGATTTGGGTGAATTCTTCATTTCTTGAAGTCCAAAATATTTTATTTTTTCCAAGATTTCAAGTCCAACGAGTTTTTGTTTGTTTGTTTTTTATTGGGGAACAGCCATGGTCATTGGTTACACATTGCTTTCATGCTACAATGGCATAGTTGACTCTTTTAAGGAGGGCTAGCTCACAGTGGCGCATGCGGGAATTGAACTGGCAACCTTAGTATTAACAGCACCACGCTCTAACCAACTGAGCTAGCCAGTCACCCCCCAAAATATCTTGATGTTCCTGGGAACCCTGTAAGCAAGATAGAAGGAGGTTTTTCCAAGGGGCTTTATTGGCTCCATAAAATCAACCTTAGTATCTTACAACTGTCTGGTCATACTTTTTTTTTTTTTTTAGCTGAGCCATCCTGCCACCTGTTGGCAGCTCAGTGGCAGCTCAGCTCAGGCCAGGAATTAAACCAGTGATCCTGTTGCTCAGAACTCACTATTGAGCAAGCTCTTAACAAACTGAGCCACGCGGCCGGCCCCTCATATCTGATTTTATGCACATCATTTTTAAATATAACATTCCAAAGCCTTGGTAATACAATCCGTGTATCCAATGTGTCCTGTTACAAGGAGAACAGATTTTTAATAAATGTAGGCAAACAACTACAGTCCATAAAAATAAAAATATGTAGTAAGAGTTTCATAATTCTGGAGGGATCAAATAAGAAAAACAAATGTTTGAATTCTGTCTACAAAGGTATGATTTACCAAATTGCTATACGTTAGATATAGCTCAAAAGAGAAAAAGATTTCCTTAAATCTGGAAAACAAAACCTTAAAGAACTAGCATGTTTCAAACAAAAAGTCATAAAAATTATAATTATCCTTATCAGTTCATTTAATCCCATGTTATTTATTCTTGTTCTGCTTGAATCCAATTTTTCCATTAGAGTTCTGGACATTCTTACCCAGTTAAAGTGATCTTAAAGGTATCAGAAACTTGTATTCTGGAGTACGTGTCAGTCCTTTTCATAAATCTCTCTGAAGATAAAGCACTTTTGCAAAAGCATCAGAGTAAAACAGTAACTGTCTGTAAATGACTAAAACACTTTTAAAAATGGCCATTGTGAAAGATCTGTTAAGAGCTCATTTGATAAGGAAATTTTGTTCTTTGCCTGGCATACAATAACAACTAGACAATGAGGATATTGACAAATTTCTATGAACTTCAAACAACTTTTGGATAGCCTATAATAGTGACATTTATCCATACACATATAGCCTAGTTTATCATTTGTCATTTGACAATGTGTCCCATGTAATTTAACATGCCAAATAAAGTTAGTTTCACATCTTTTATTTTAGACCTCAATAAACATTCTAAACATGTCTAGATGTCTGTCCCAGAATCACATCTAATTATCATTTTCTTGAGCCTCAACACTTTTTCCTTTTCCATTGTCTCTGAGACAAAAATCACAGCTCACAAAATCCTCCCCTCTCCAGGTTACATACTTGACATCATCCCTCTAACTTCTTTTTCCTCCTTTATCACACCGTCAATCCTATAGCCCTGCTAAGTGGAAGGGGGTGGACACCAGAGGCAAAGGTCTCCTGACACTGGGGCCCGACTGCAATGGTGAAAGAAAAAAGTTGTTCACACTTATGTCTGATATATGACCGTAGGAGGAAATCCTCTGAAAAGATTATCCAGAAAATAATTACAGTAATTAAGGGTACACTTCTCACCTTGAAATTAGATGGCAGCTGCAGGTAGACAGAACTAGTTGATAAGGAAATCAGATTATTTGACTCTACTATCTTGTAACAAACCAGGTCACTGTGAATTCCAACCTTCCAAGAATTCTTCTAACTGGGACATCTAATCTTCTTTACCACAGCCACGAAAGTCAGGTCTTCTTTGCAGTAAATTTTGAGGCAATTCTTACCTTGTTGACTTAGGCAGCGAGGTAGAGCCAGCTAGTTCAGGACTGCAGTAAGTGTACAGGGAAAAGTACTTATCAATGGGACATGATTGTCAACTCCAATACTTAGATACACACACACACACACACCCCAACACTCAAACACAAATCCATTAGCTCTTTGAGGCAGTGATAACAGTAGTAAGACTCCCAGGGGTACATGGGGAAGATATGAATGAGGCATTTGTATGGTATCCATCTTTAAAAGTTTTGGTCCAGTGCTGGGACGGGAATGCATGCCCAGTTTAAGAATAATTCGGGGCCGGCCGAGTGGCGCGATGGTTAAGAACTGGCTTGGGACGCCAGAGGGCCCCGGTTCGGATCCCACATATGAGGGCCAGTGACACTGCCCCTCTACAGCTAAGATGCTGAACAACAGCTCAACCTGGAGCTGGGCTGCTGTGGGTCGCCGGCGACGGCAGAGGCTGCAGCCCCTGTGGCAGTGGGTTGCCATGGGCTACCGTGTGTAGCCAGCAGCCAGCGTGAGCGGCCAGCAGCCGCAGTGAGTGGCCGTCCAGAAGATGGTGACTGATCTGCCTCGCCCGGGAAGAGCGCAGTGATGATGCCAACTTGGGCCAGTGAAGCAACGTCCTCCACAACTAGACTGAAGAACAGAAAGACAGCAACTTGTCTGTTCCCCTTCCCCTAATTCCCCAATAAAAATCTTTAAAAAAAAAAAGTTGTGTTGCTATTTATTAAAAAAAAGAATTCAATTAGGAGATGAGTTTTTAAAAATTATTTATTTAACAACTAGTATAAGCAAATTATTATCTATCTGTTAAATGAAACACATACCATACCCAACTTCAAAGAGCCTACATTAAGTTGGTATGAATGTATACACATATGCATTAAGTTGACACAAGTAACAAGGCAATTTAATAACTGCAAATTGTAGCACAGGCTCATTCAAAATTTGAGGTCAAATCAACAGAAGTTTAGAAAGAACAAAGAAGCATTGCAAAAACAGTCTTTCATAAATGAGCTGGATCTTAAAAGGTTCTGAGGGACAGAGATTAGCAAACAGGAAGAAAAGGTTTTCTAGGTAAGGAACACAAATAACGAGGGTCCACATTAGAGGAGAAGTTTTAAGAGGGCCACGGCAAAGAGAAAGAAAATGAATCAGTCTTGGAGAATAACTTTATGAAATTGGTGATAAGGAGGTGGAATAGAAAAATAAATAATCTCTATCCTTGAGAAGCACACACTCTGATTATGTGATGCATAACTAAGAAATGAGATAGATTTTTAAACAGGAAAAAAAGAGAGAAATAAAGAAAAAAAGAAACCTTACAAGTACATGAAAGGTGCAGTCCTTACTTCCCCAATAGTGGGAAAGGCTGTACTGTTATTTACTCCCTCTCCCACCTCCATAACCCAGCAGACAACATTTAGGGGATGGCCCACTTTGATTACTGGTTTCAAGAGAACAGGTTGAGCATATTTCTTATAAAGAAAGCTTAATTCACAGTTCCTTGCTCTATGTCTTGGGAACTTATGCCTTACGAAACTGACTGAGCCAGTCCTGAGTGCTTCTCTCCAGTGTGAGTTCGCTGGTGGTGATTAAAAGTGGAACGCTGACTGAAGGCTTTCCCACACTCAGTACATTCATAGGGTTTCTCACCAGTGTGGACTCTCTGGTGCACAGTAAGCTGTGAGCTGTCACTAAAGGCTTTCCCACAATCATTACATTTATAGGGTTTCTCCCCAGTATGGGTTCTCTGATGCACCATAAGACTAGAATTATGACTGAAGACCTTCCCACACTTATTACATTCATAAGGTTTCTCACCAGTGTGAATTCTCTGGTGTATAATGAGGTATGAGTTTTGATTGAAGGATTTTCCACACTCATTACATTTATAGGGCTTTTCACCTGTGTGAAGTCTCTGATGTCGAATGAGACATTTACTCAGGCTGAATGCCTTACCACACTCACTACATTCAAAAGGTTTTTCTCCAGTATGAATTCGCTCATGGTCAGCAAGCTGAGAGTTCTGACTAAAGGCTTTCCCACACTCCTGACATTTGTAAGGTTTTTCCCCACTGTGAAGGCGCTGATGTCGAATAAGACTTTTATTCCGACTGAAGGCCTTGCCACAGTCAATACACTCATAAGGCTTCTCCCCAGTATGGATTCTCTGGTGGTCAATAAGATTTCTATTAGAACAGAAAGCTTTCCCACACTCACTACACTTGTAGGGTTTCTTACCACTGTGAAGTACCTGATGTCGGACAAGATTTTTATTCCGAGTGAAGGCTGCCCCACACTCATTGCATTCATAAGGTTTCTCCCCAGTATGGGTCCTCTGGTGATCAATGAGTTTGGAACTCTCAGTGAAAGCTTTTCCACATTCATTACATTTATATGGTTTCTCCCCGTTGTGCAGTCTCTGGTGTTGAATGAGGTGGGAGCTGTGCCGATAGGTCTTCCCACACTTGCTGCATTCATAGGGCTTTTCCCCCGTGTGGATTCTGAGATGAACTATGAGCTGAGAGGTCTGTCTGAAGGTCTTACCACACTCATTACACTCATAGGGTTTCTCTCCAGTGTGGATTCTTTGATGGCCAATGAGGTGCGAACTCCAGTTGAAGGCTTTGCCACATTCATCACATTGATAGAATTTCTGTGCCTTCAGAACTCCTTGGCGTTCTGCAGGACTGGGGGACAGATCTGGATGTTCCCCAAGTTCCTCGTATTCATCACATCCATCTTTGGTGGATTTGTCTTTATCCTCACATGTTCTTTCCAAGAAACCACTTTCCAGTTGGCTCCCTTCCTCATCTGAGGGTTGTACTTCTAGCTTCTCTAAAGCATCTTCACAGGCATCGGTAGCCTCTGGCCCCCCAGGAACCACCCCATAGAGGCCTCCTGATGTCCCATCAGAAGATGGCTCTGATCCTTTAGAAATTTCCTGCTTTGGAGGTAACTCGGAACTCTCCATCCCAGTCTCCCCTGCTGCCGAGAGAAAGAAGAAAACAGCTTTTACTCATTTCTTGTCCTATTGAGGAAACAATCATCAGAAGTCCATGATCCAAAAAAACTTCACATTCCTAGTAAGGAATGAGGTTACAGATTGAGAACAGGAGAGAAAATGAGAAATAGCTCAATTTTTTTTTCATGAACAGAAAGATGAAGAGCGGGAAGATGGCAGTGGAGGAGGGTAGACAAAGAGCCATCAGGATAGACAGAGGTCGGTCTACCACAACCATGTGAGAAAGGTAATTGGACGGCAAGTGTTTGAGGAGGATGTGACTGCCGCTTGACCCTAGAGCTACATCCAGGCAATCAGAAGCTCTTTATCCCCTCCCCTGTCCTAGGAATGTTTGATCTACTTGCCCAGGCTAGAAGCTTCCCAAGGATGCAACCTAGAGGCAGTAATGTGATGTTGAACCATCTGACCAGTATATGAGGTGTGATCAGAAAATACAGTGAATGTTTAAATAAGAAAACGTTTACAGTAAAAGACACATTGCCAATAATCTCCCTCAAAATACTCCCCTTTGGTTCAAACACACTTATTCCATCCTTCTTGTCACTTTCTGAAGCAGTTCTAGAAGTCCTCTTTCATAAGTGTCTTTAGTTGCTCTGTCATGGCTGCCTCGATAGTCTCAATCATTTTGACTTTGGGGAGGAGCCAGAAGTCTCACGGTGCCAGATCTGGTGAATAAGGTGGATGAGGACACACTGCAATGTTTTTATTTGACAGAAATTTCTGTATACCAGAAGCAATGTGTGACACGAAGCATTGTCTTGAGGGAGGATAAAACCATTTGCCCAAATGTTAATCCAGTGTTCATGATTTACGGCACACTTTAAAACACACTTTCTATCAACTGTAGCTCACACCCGACTGACTGAACAAGATGAAACTTGTCACATACTGTTACTAAGGTTCAACATGCTGCTTCCCTTATTGAACATCCTGCCTTTCCATTGGATAGCACTTAGCAGCAGCATTCACTGTATTTTTTTTTTAACAAAGACTCCGTATCACACATCACTTCTGGTATGGCAATTTCTGTCACATAAAACATTATGGTGTGTCCTCATCCACCTTATTTACTGGATCTGGCACCGTGCCACTTCTGGCTCTTTCCCAAAGTTAAAATGACCATGAAAGATAAATGTTTTGAATAGATTTAGGACATTAAGGCAGCTGCAATAGCACAACTAAAGACACTCATGAAAGAGGACTTCCAAAGCTGCTTCAGAAAGCGGCAACAACAATGGGATAAGTCTGTTCGAAGCAAGGGGGAGTATTTTTTTTTTAAGATTTTATTGAGGAATTAGGGGAGGGAACAGTGTTGGGGAATCGGTAAAGGGGAACAAACAAGTTGCTATCCTTTTGTTCTTTAGTTGTGGAGGATGTTACTTCACTGGCCCATGTTGGTATCGCTTCCCAGCTGAAGCAGATCAGTTGCTGGCCATTGGACGGTTGCTTACAGCGGCTCATGGCAGCTCACGTTGGCTGCTGGCCACTCACAGTAGCTCATGGCAGCCCACTACAACCCCACTACAGCCTAAACTGTCGCCAGCGACTCACCGCAGCCCAGCTCCAGGTCGAGCTGTTGTTCACCATCTTAACTACTGAGGGTGTAGTGTCACTGACCCATGTGGGATCCAAACCAGCAACGCTGCTGCTCAGAGCTCACACTCCCAAACCAACTCTTAACCAACGAGCCACTCAGCCAGCCCAAGGGGGAATATTTTGAGGGGAATTAATGGCAATGTGTCTTTTATTGTAAAAAAATTTTTTTTATTTAAATATTCACTATATTGCTAGATCACACCTCATATGTGACTGGACCTAGTTAAGGCCTCTACTTAAACTTTTAAGATATTGGTGGGCAAACCACCGCACTGTATTTCTGAAGCTGATGTTGAATAATATTGTATGTCAACTATAATTATATATACATACAGTCATGGGATGTGGAGTAGAATGTGAGAATGGAGTCAATGGAATGGGAATAGATAAGTATGATATCAGGAGTGGGAGGGCAGTGGATGGGGGGAGGGGGCTGTTACTTTGTGAGGGGTGTAAAGGATAACTATTGCACTGTTCTCTACACCTGAAACTAATAATAAAAAAAAATAAGAAAATTTAAAAAAAAGATATTGGTGGGCAGATGCAGAGATCTACTTGTCCTAAAGCCACCCAACACAAGCCTCCTATGTAAGTTCCCCTGCTTATTAAACCTGCCACCTACCATCTAGAGTGGCCTACCTCTTTATTCAGTTTCTTTTTGACCTCTGTGTACAGGGGCTGGTTTCAGATTTCACCCAAGAAGCTCCTGAGGTTGTGAACCAACACCAACAAACCAGATTGTAAAGAATGGTAGGATCTTACAGAAGTAACTTAGATGTTATGTCTCTTTAATAAAACAATACACTCGGGCCGGCTGAGTGGCTCAGTTGGTTAAGAATTCACTCAAAGGTTTGAGCTCTGAGCAACAGTGGTTCAAGTCCAGCCCGAGCTGAGCTGCCGCTGAGCTGCCAACAGGTGGCAGGATGGCTCAGCCAAAAAAAAAAAGTAAAAAAAAATAAAATAAAACAATACACTCTAACGTACTTTCGAAACATTACATTGTATGTTTCTGTGGTTCACAGCAAAAATGTTGAAAGCTATAGGTTCTTATTTTGAGAAGCTATAGATTCAGAAATGCTGGGGGAAGTACTGAAGCGGGGAACTGAGCTTGAACAATGGGGATCCCCTAGATCCTGGAGCTCTGGGCTGCTGGGAGGCAGTACTGCACTCCTATGAAAATTTAGAAGGGCATCAACAATTTGAAATATAAATAAAAAAATATAGCTTTGGCATCTTGATAATCTCAAATTATAAGGACTAAAGAGTTGAATACGTGCTTCTGAATTCTAGAAGTTTTTAATACCTAAGCTGGGAGGAGGCTGAGCAATCACGTTTATAGCTAAACACAAAAGTTTTGGTTCCTTTGAACACATATAAACCAAGGAAACGAATCATCATGCTACTTTAGAATGTGGACGCTGCAGATTTCTGAATCCCCGACTCCTGAGCCCACCCTCTATAGACAAGACTACTGTCCCAGACTTGTCAATCACAGAACCTGTCCTGACAACAGCACCTTCAAAGGCAGCTGCCCTTCTCCAGTCTTTCCTGAAGGGGAAGCTGAGGCAACCATGCCGTGTGCCAAGTACGCAGCCATCCCATGATGAAGCACGGGTGACTGGACAGAGTCAGGCACTACACCCAAGTGTACCTTTTCTGTAGATTAGACATCAGCCTCTGCTGTGGCCAGAGCCAAAGTTCTGTCCAAAATGACATGATATCTCACTGCTGAACCATCCTTGGAGTCCCTCTCTAAGGAAACTCGGATCAGGAAATAGGGCAAAGTGAAGGAAACTACAAGGAGGAGCTCGAGCTGAAATGATGCACGGAGAAGCCTGGCCACTAGGAGCCACAGCGAGCAGGAAGCATGAGGGAACAGAAAGTCTACTCAAGGAGCTATGAGAGGACCAAAGGTTCAGAGTGAAGACAAAGGGTAGCAGAGGAAGGATAAAACGGATATGCAGGGAGCAGCTGCGTTCCATCCCCGGTACGACAGCATGTGAACATTCATTTCCTTTTCTTGCTCAGGCTCCCAGGCTCCTCAGTCTCAACAGGCCCTGCTTCTCCAAGTCTGGTCTAGCCGGTCAGTTAGTTCAGGGTTTCCATTCCTTTAGCCTTATTGTAAGTAACGTAGCTCATTACTTACGATAACGTGAGTGGCTCTCTGTTCCTTACAACCACAAACTCTAACGAAACCACCCTAGCTCACTCCACAATGAAGTAAAGAGGACGCTGATAACTGTTAAAGCTGGGTGATGGGCGCAGACAGGTTTATTATACTGTTCTCTCTACTTTGTCTATGTTTCCCACTTTTCATAATAAAGGTTATAAAGAACAGGAATATAGCAAAGGAGATGTGAGGGATGCAGACGCTAAGGGATGGGGCCCAGAATCATTACCCAACGAGGCAAAGCTGCGGTACGTTTCCGGCATGATGTTCCGGTTCAGGCCTCTCTGACTCCGCGCTGGACCTTTCCACTGCTTCTCAGGATAGTCCACAGACAGGAACCCGAATGCTGCAGACCCCTAGAATGACAAGCTTCTATTGCTCAGAAACATTCCCAGTCTGAGCAACAGTCATCAGGGGTGCCAAGAACACAGGGCAAGGGCCCTGGTGGGTTAAGGGGTGGGGGAGGGACAACGGGAACGACACATCTAAAAGAACAAGCCCAGGGCAAGACAGAACCCATGAACTCAGCAGGCGGGGCCAGCTCCGGGGAAGCCACAGGAACAGTCTCAGAATGGCCAGCGCCCGGAGGTGAGCGCTACCTATTCCTGGGCCGAAGACTCAGATACTCCGGAAAGACAGACAACCAAGCTCACCTGGGGCCGGACCATCCGAAGCATAGGCGCCACCACTTGGTCTCCTAAGTGCCCCGCTTGGGGAAGGGCAGGCCCCCGGGAAGCACCATGAGCTGAGGGAGGAAAGAAAGCTATGAGTGGGACAAGGCCTGCCTTTGGCTCCTATAAGGTCTGTACCCCAGTGCGTGGATTCAAGAGAACCCAGGCAGCTGCACACACTCAGTCTCATGCCTCTTCCAGACAGGCATTGTCCTGAGTGTGCTGTGAATGTTCCGTGGAGGATGCGGTACGAGGTCCCTGGTCAAACAGAACTGGCTTCTCCCAGGCCTCGGCTTCAACCTCTGAGGGAAGCTATCTTCTCACCTCTCTCTCTCCCACGGCTTCCCTGGCGCCAGCCTCTCCTGACTTCCCCTCAGATCTCTGGCCCTCCTTCCCTGGTTTCCCTTCCTTCTCCTGCCCTCTCCTTTGGTTGCCCCAGGCACTCAGGCCTCAGAGCTCCCCTGTTCTCTCTGTGAGGTCTCAACGATGGTCCCAGCTCTAGTGCTGCTCTCACATTTCCTGGCTCTCTTCGCCACCTGTCACAGGCTTCCAGTGGCATACTGGATGTTTCACCTATGTTCCACATGACCATAAATTCAATTTCAAAAATGCATGTTCTTATCATCTCCTTTTCCTGTCTTCCCACGTTCTGATTCCAGACAGTGGTAAAACCACTGATTTCCTAGCTCCTTTCCTTAAACCCATGTCCAATAGATAGTCCCCGAATCACATTTAGGTTCAACACAATCTCTATCACAATCCCAGCTGACTTCCTTGGAGAAACTGACAAGCTGATAATAAAACTCAATATGGAAACTCAAGAGTTCCAGCATAGCCAAAAGAATCTTGAGAAATTAAATAAGCAGGAGGACTCCCACTTTCCAATTTCAACACTTACTTTACAAAGCACAGTCACCAAGGCAGTGTGGTGATGGCATAAGAACACACATATAGATCAATGAAATACAGTAAAGGCCCCAAAATAAATCCCACATCAACAGTCAACTTATTTTTGATGAAGGTCCCAAGAGCAATTAAAGCTGAAAGAATAGACTTTACAACAAATGATCCTAAAACAACTGGATGTCCACATAAAGAATGAAATTAGTCCCCTACGTCAGACCATAAATGAAAATTACATGGACAGCAAGCCCTGGCACCCATAGCAAAGTGGCCCCGTTACTCTGTGCAACAAGTCACAGATGATGGTCAGCTCCCCTGAAACCGCGGCACCCTCCATCCCCTAACACTGTTAAGCAAATTTAAAGAAACCATTACCTTCAGACATGATATTAAAACAAAAGCCATCCTCTCTTACATGTGTTATAAACAATACCTATTCAATGACTCAGGGACTCAGCAAGTGCTGCTGGACCCACAAAGGTGAGATGGCTGAAACTGAGACAGGAAGAAGGCTCCCACCAGAAAGCATGCCACCATCCAGCTACAAGAAGCACGTCCAGCCAGGCTCCAGGGGACGACAAGTCAGGGAAAGAACTACCTGACCAGTCATGCACACTGAGGAGGCTGATGGAAGTTTAGCAGAGAAAGAGAAATGAGGCTTTGCTCTGAAAAGAGTGTGGGAGGGGGTGAGAGGAACTATTCACAGAACAGGAGAGGAAAGGAAAATGAGAGAGGTGATAAAGTAAATAACTGAAGGCCCATGAAAAAAGACTTGAAGACACAACAACAAAAGGCAGGAGAGGAAAGGGGGCTCCAGGAGCAGAGGGGCAGACTCAGGCCTCTCCGAGCTCCAGGAGCACAAACAGGAAGCAGAAAAACTGCTATGGGGGGAGCTGCAAGTCAGAAAGAGGGAGAGTGACTTCCCAGCCAAACTCCCAGAGCAGACTGGAGAAGAGGAAGAAAACTGCAGTAAGAAAACAGCTAGAGTGCTGCTAAGGGTGAAGAGAAACCTGGCCCTCAGGCCAAAGACAAGGAACTTGGGGTCACAAGCATTTGGAACAAATGCACCCAGCAGGAAATATACATGACAATGACCTGTCTCAGGGATTTGAGACCCACAGTGAAATCTGCACCAAGAATAAGCCCCCAGGCTGCTCAGTGCTGAAGCAGCTGTGCAGAAACGCCCAAAGAGATCAGGATTTGGAAAGAGGTGATGAGAAGACTGACAAACAGGAAAAGGAGGGTGACCGCCTGGGAATACAACCAAGGACTCTAGGTCTCCAAACAAAGGGTGAGGCTGGCCTCTGCAGCCATGAACACGGGTCAAGCTGAAAACCTCCTGGGCCTTTCAAACTCAGAACGAAAGACCCAGAGCACAGGAAAGAGATGGGGGCCAGTGAGCTGAACCTGCCCAGTTAAATCCGGGGAGCCTCATGCCCAGGGTCCTCCCATGTCCCAACTCGCTTTGGAGGACAGAAGAAAAGCTTCATTCATCCACTTGTTAACATTCCACCACAGATGTGAGCCCCTGGGGCCCTGGAAACAACCTCAGCTGGATCAGGCCTCTTCCCCCAGACCTTCATACCTTAACCCATTCTCACTCCACAATAAAAAGGACTCTGAAAAGACCAGGGAAAACCCCAAGCAATCGACTGGCCATTTTTCAGGAACATTTTCTTCTTTTTGTTACTTTGATTCTTCTACTCATATGCAATGTAATTCTGTTTGTTTGCTTTCCTTTTAAAGTCCTCATTAAGTCGTCCCTGATTCCCCCGCTTCTCCTACCAGTATGAGGGCACATCGGCTTATTTTATTCACTGGTAATAAGCAAACAACCAAGATGCTTCCAGTTCATACTTTAAATGTTAAAATAAGACTGAAACAAATATCTCAATTAAGAAATAAATTCAATCTCAGTGCCCAAAACTTGGCTTCAAATTGCCATTCTC